TAGGGAAAACATAATGTTCTAATTTCTTATAAATTATTATTTGCCACCAAATTTTGTCCTATCAATGACTATTTACTGGTATATAATATTTCAAATCTGCTTTTAATATATAAAAGGAGTGTTGCATACTGGAAAAAAATAATACACAAAAGCTAATAATAATAACTCTTCTTTCAGTTGAAAACTCAAAGAATTGGGCATCTGGAATATAAATTTTTTGGATGAGCAAGAAATAGTGCTAGACAGAAAGGCAAAATGAAGACAGTACAGTGTTGTAACCATGAGTATCAGCTCTAGAGTTAAACTATGTGACTCTTTAAATGATTTCATTTATTCTAGCTCTCATTTCTTTAACTGCAAAATAGAAATAATAATTATATATACATCAAAGAGTTGTGAGAACTAAATGAGATTCTGTACACAGTGTTTAGACTAGTATTATGCACACAGTAAATGCTATTTAACGTTAGTTATTATTACTATTACTCGTAAATTAGTACCAGTAAGTAAAAGACTCTTTCCCCTTTCCTTTAAGAATTGTATTTTCAATAAAACTTCATAATATCATTGTTTATAAAGAGATTGATGATTGGCGGTTGACTTCTGCCCTCTATACCAGGTTCATTTGGTCATTTCATTAACCTTGTGATATGTGCCCCACATTTTATTCAGTGGAATTGTTTGGACCTCACTTATGTTATGGCAAAGTTCTACTGTAAGACCATAATTTAGAAGCATAGGTGTATGTGTAGATTTTTTTTGAAGATGTGAAATGTAGGAATAAGTAGGTAGTTTCTAAAGTACGACACCCTACTATGCTTCCAATAATTTTTCTATTTAAACAGGCTTGAGACATGCTTTTCATAAAATTTATATTTCCGACTAACCACTAAGTGATTTTATTTAAATTGCACTAGAACTAATTATGTTTTTTAAAAATTATTTTTATTTTTTGGACCCTATGGGTCCAAAAATGGGGGAAGAAGTGGTAGATGAGGAGAAAGATATTAGCAAACATGATTCCATTCCACTGTGAAGTTTTTCTGTCTAGTCAGCATTGCATTAACTTATCAGTCAGTGATACCCTTTAAATGAATGTTTTCTGATTTACATAGCCTGCATCACTTTGAAACATTCAACATGATCTCTCATGTCCGTTACATAGAACCAATAATGCTGGCCCTGTTCGAATTACAAGAAAAGTACTGTATACCAATCCAGTATCTTATAAAACCACCTGGGTGGACCACAAAGTAGGGAGTGGTGGTAGGGGAGGATGTACCTCTAGGTGGCAGCTGGGTGCTGAGAGGGGCTGGGGAGAGAAGGAGGGGGGGTATTTCCTCATGGGAGGGCACTGATTTTGCAATAGGAAGAGTACAAAAGTCATATGTACCTCTAGGTGGCAGCTGGGTGCTGAGAGGGGTTGAAGAGAGAAGCAAGTGGGTATTTCCTCATGGGAGGGCACTGATTTTGTAATAGGAAGAGTACAAAAGTCGTCAGAAGAGGTAGACTTAGGGGCATGACAGGTCAGTGCTTTCTCACCAGTGCACAGAATCGGAGGGCTTTAGTGTCGCCTTCTGCCGACCACTGGGTGAGCCCTTAGCACTATCAGCACCGTTTCAAACATCAGTGACAGTCGGCCACACTCAGCCTGTGACACTTCCTTTCTAGAGCTCATCCTGCTGGTTCTACATTTTAGGGTTTGTGGCTCAGCTATTTGCCCTCCTTTGCAACACATTGAGGCCTCCTCATGCCACAGGGCAGGGCAGTCAGGGTGCAGAGACCAGGGAACAGCAGGTGGGTTGAGAGTGTAGAGAGGTGGATGTTTTGGCTGCCTTCCCTGTTAAAAGTGCAAAATATATATATATTTTTTCTGTGTTCTGTCTGAAAAACAAAAAGCAGAGGTGGGTGTTTGCTTGTTTGTTTGCTTGTTTATTTTGGTGCCAGATCTAGTGACCTTAATGCTCCTCTTCTTTAGAGGATCATTCCAAAGGTGCAGTAAGTCTGGGGTAGGTCAATTACAGAATGTGGACTATAGTCCCTGGATTTGGGAACTGCCAATCCGAATCCTTTAGAAAAGAATCAAATTTCCGGTGCATGGTTTAAGTGTCTTGGTCTCATTGTGAACAATGAATCTGAATCATTTCTATCCCACAGGAATTGGTCCTGTCTAATAGAGTTTACTCAGATTCATAGAGATGTTTGTTTTCTTTCTTTTCTGGCAGGTTCCTGGGCAGATCGTTCACCACTACACGAAGCGGCAAGTCAAGGTCGCCTCCTTGCTCTGAGAACATTATTATCACAGGTAAAATATTACCAATGCTTAACATAGGCCCTGTCTCATGAGCATAGAACATTAATCAGCAAAAGTAATCAACTCAAAAGTAATAAAACTGCTTCATAAATTTTATTAGTCTTTTTATTTTAACTCACATGGCCGTCAAGTCTGTAGTTTCTCATTTATCTTTGAAACTTCTTTATAAATATTTTGGTATAATCTTGTGTCTTAGTATTTCAAATTTCTCATACAGTATATTTGTTCACTGATGATAGGTATATTTGAGTCAGAAGTAATTGCATTTATGTATTATTTATTAAGCATTTTAAATATGTTTAACTCTGTACAATGTATACAACTTATTGCAGACTTGGCTCAGCCATAAAATACTCAAAAAAGGGTAATCAGACCAGATGCCTAGACAACCTTTTTAACATTATGGTAATCTGTAATACGTTATGGGGAATTGCCTAGGAAAGCTATTATTTCTATACCTGCCTGCTCATCAGACTCACCAGAGGAAAATGAAAAACACAGATTCTTTATTGAAATAAAAAGTGCTCTGGCTTGGCCTGTGGATTTTTAAATTTTTCCAACGTGATTCAAATGTACACTCAGATCAGTAGGTCATTTCCTTAGTGTTTCCCAGTATCAAAGAGAAAAGAGTTTTCTCTGATGGCCTTGAGGGAAGGAAGGGTATTGCTGCCCAGTGTAAACAGCTCTGCCCTGGGGCTCAGAATGCAAATTCCTGCCTGGCACTGGAGGTGAGTCACAACCTATCTGAGCCTCTGTTTTCTTGTCTGTGAAATGAAGCTTTAGGAAGAGATGCTCCCTTAGCTCAGTTCACTTTCATGATAACCATGTGACTATTTTGTTTCCTCATCACTTAGTAAAAACAAACAAACAAACAAAAAAACCTGCCAAAAGGTGAGTAATATCTAAAGGGTAGCCCCCTGAAAGAGTCATACAGTTCTTTGAGAGGTGAGCAAACTTAGGATATTTCACAGCGTGTATCACAGATCCACTGACAGGCCGGCCAGGAGGAGTCAGAGGCTGCCCCAAAGCCTTGTGAAATGAAACTCGACCTTCCAGATGCTTCTGTCATCTGGTCACTCTAGTGTGTGGCAGTTAGGAATTAGTTCTCTAAGTCTGACTGCTAGCTAGCCAATTCAGAATCTTTGAAAGGATAATTTAAGGGATTTTAAAAATTGCCACTTGCTAGTGACAAAGATTTAGGGTGATCATTTTCTTGTTTTCATTTTAAGATTCCTCATGTCTTTGGACTTCTTCCTATTAGTGTTTAGTACGATTGTCAATAGACAATGAATTACCAAAAATAGAAAGAAGGCACAGAATCCCATGTTCTAATAATATTTAATTATTTTAATCTGACATCGTTAGTTTAATTGGAATAAAATTACTTAAAGTGTTTACTTAGTCATGACTGAATAATAAAACATTTTTCTATATGCTGGGCACTGTAATAATAATTGCTTTCCATGCATTATCTCATTTATTCTTCATGATAATGTTAAAATTTAGAGGTTAATGTAGTCATCCAAATGAAAACAATTACTGCATTATGGAGCAAGACTTCCAATCCAAGTCTGACTCCATAGTCAGAGTTCTTAACCACTAGCACAGAACCTAGTCAGACCTATTTAGTGACAAAAATTCACAAAGCAGCTTACTACAATTTAGGATATTTTCCCTCCACTATGGGCTGACATGTAATATATAGCCCCAATCAAAACAAGTGATATAGCCTATAAACAATCCTTAGTTATCTAAAACAAACAAACAAAAAAAAAGCAACCAAAACAATTCATAAGGACAAAAAAATTTAGGAAAGCAACATTTAAATAATATGTTCAGAATCTATTGAACAAAATACTTAAGGCAATTTTGTGTTTAGATGGGATGATGTTCCAATAATAGGGCTCAGGAGTCCTGACAACTGATTGACCCTATGGCGTTCTAACTGGCCTTTTCTGAGTTGCCTGAGATCCCTTCATTTTTTATATCACTCTCTAATGACAGTTGTGGAGATGATTTTATATGATTTTTTAGTCATCTTTAAAATGATTCTTGTTATATTTAGGGTTATAATGTAAATGCAGTCACCATAGACCATGTCACCCCATTGCACGAAGCCTGCCTTGGAGATCACGTGGCGTGTGCCAGAACTCTCCTGGAAGCTGGAGCTAATGTAAGTACCTGTTAAAAATGTTAACATTTCTCATCTACTGACTAAGTGATTCAAGCAAAGTTCTCGTTTTGCTTTTCTTCCCTTCTTAGTATTTTTCAAAGATAGCAGAATAAAAATAAAGTTCTCAAATTGCCCCAGCCTTCTCATTGTACTCTAAGAAGGGTTTCCAATCACTGCAAAAATGGGTAGCATGCTGCATAATACGGAATATTCTTTAAGCTCTTTCCCGCTTTCATGATTCTAAATAGCAGTAGATGGATATCTTTATGCCTATAACGTTTGTACATCTTTTAGATGCTTTTCTTTAGATGAGTTCTCAGAAATAGAATTCCAATTTAAACCGACACCAGTAAAATGGCTTCGTCACAATTTTCATCACCATTACATTAGTTGACTTTTTTCTTAACCGAAAAGTACCTAACTATTGAATTAGTTTTTGTGTGTTTGATTCTTAAGTATACAGTTTTTAAAATTTTTATTTGCATGCCCGCTCCTGTGAATTATCTACCACATCCTATTTCTATTTATCTCGAAATTTTAAATTTTTCCTCATTGATATGTCTGAGCTAAATATACGTTGTCATATTTATTGCTCACATTTTCCCAAGTATTTCTGTGAGCAGATTACATAACTTTTAAAAATGTCTAATAGTTAATCACATATGATTCTCTGAATCTCATTCTTAGATTTTGGTTCGGTTTAGGTAAATGCAATCACAATAGATGGTGTGACTCCATTATTCAATGCCTGCTCACAAGGCAGTGCAAGCTGCACAGAACTGCTTTTGGAATATGGTGCCAAACCCCAACTGGAGTCATGTCTTCCTTCTCCCACACATGAGGCCGCCAGCAAAGGTAACAGTTATGGGATTAAGTGACAGCAGGAAAATGTTCCTTCAGCAACAAGCAGTGCTCCATTTATTTTTCAATGAACAAATTGAATAAAGGGAGAAGCATGGTGTAAGGTGCATGTGTCGGGGGGATGGGCGGTAAGGAAAAGTAAATTCATGTCTACTTTGTGTTGGCAGGTCACCACGAATGTCTGGAAATACTGATATCCTGGGGCATAGATATTGACCAAGATGTTCCTCATTTAGGAACTCCTCTGTATGTAGCTTGCATGTCACAGCAATTCCATTGTATCCGGAAGCTTCTTCATTCTGGTAATTTTCTTTAAAACATCTTCCATTCTGTCTGCACACACAAGCAATTATTCAGCTCTGTATTTATTTCTTTACATATGCTTCTTCAAAAATAATATCTCATGGCTAAAAATGTTCTTATGCTCAGCATTCTCACATGCAAGTGAGAATAAATAAGAAGCTTATTCTTGCTAACTCCACTTCACCTCAAAGTTTCAAACCCTCTACTTACAAAGATCATAAAATTAAGATCTTTAAGGCTGAATTTAATGTTGCCATTCTGAGTAGAAAACCATCAGAAGAAATTTTAGAGATAGTCACTCCTTAGATAACCTTATTCTCTACCAACCATAAGAATTCATGCACTTACCGGGACTGTAACCTCTGACCCACCTACCTGAAAAGACATAACATTCTTTTCCACCTACTTTAAACAAACCAGTTCCTGAAGGTTCAGCTTTAGTGGTTTCTCCCACTATCAGGCTGAGAGCTCTTTTAGGTAATGGATTATCTCTTTTTTCCCATCATCTCTTTTCTCTAGCACAGTGTCTCTAACGTGGTAGGTGCTTAAAAATATATGTAAAATGAGTAAATGGATGTCTATGCTTTTTATTGTTTATGACAATCAGTTGGCCTCTGATATATACTGACATATATTTTTAGTAACACTTTTATGTGTTACTCACATCATCTTAGCTAAATTATAAATTTCTGGCAAGTAGTGTCTCCATCTACTATTTAATCCCCATTACACCAATTAAACTCTTAAACATGAATTCTGCTAATAATTGTTGGCAGATTGTTATTTTCTGACTATATTCTCCCATAAATTTATATAACCAGAAGAGCTTACTCTTTACAACTTTCTCTACTATGCTAGGAATATTATTCTTTCCTCCAAATATTTTATACTAGGTGAAAAAAAATATTGAAAAATTGCCATTAGTTATTGTGGATTTATTGTTATTTTCAGGCTCTGTTCTCCCATAAAATTGATACAACCAACAGAGTTGATGCTTTCTCTATGGAGATTTTGTTATGCAATATAATTTTTCCATTAAGACATTTTATATTTCGTTAAAAATATTGAAAATTATTACACTTATTGAAATTTGAAAGTAGCAAAAGGGCCATAAAGGAACTCTTAAAATGCACTGCTTCTTATAAACATGAGTTTCACGATAGTATCAAAAAAAAGAGTTGAAAGGGATTTATGCACTTTGATTCTAAACATCTCTTAGTGGTGTAACCATTTACGTACTGGAAAATGGAATTATTATTCTTTACAATATTAAACAGCATTTATTCATTGCACATGCATTCAATGACCACCATGTGCCAGGGCTTGCACTAAAATAACTGCGCAATAGGTAATTTGACACGTAAGGTTTTTTTTTTAATGTGAGCAGTTTTTAAATTCACTTCGCAGAAATATAATGTGCCTTTCCATTTAATAGTCTCTATATATTTATAATTTAAATTATAAATACATATTTATAAATATGTATTTATAATTTAAATTACATGAGTGAGAAGTGACAGGAAAATCTATATACATTTTACCTAAAGAGCTCACATATCTAGAATCATGAATTTTCCAAGAAACAAAAGAGCTCTATTGCCTTAAAATAAATGAAAAGAATTAAAGCAATAGGCTCTTGAATAATACTGAGCTATTAATTGTGACGAAAATAGATATGAGTCAACCGAATTATACACTGTTTATAATACTAGTTAATATGATTACTTTTGGAACTGTTTACAATTTTTTTAAATTTATTATGAGATCTTTTAATCATACAGAAAAATGTTAGAAAATGTAACAAATATTGGCACTCTCTATCCAAGCGTACCAAGTTTTAAGATAATACATATGTATTTGTATATACAAAGCATATATAAAAGTATGTATGCTTATATATGTATATATAAAGAAATAACTCATCACAGATAGAGTTGAGGGCCCCTTTGTGTCACATTTTCCTTCCCTTGGTGAGGTAAATGAATCATCTAACAGTTTTTGTTCATATTCATCATCATTTCTTATTTACACATAGGTGCTGATGTACAGAAAGGCAAGTATTGGGACACACCATTACACGCTGCTGCTCAACAGTCCAGTATGGAAGCTGTAAACTTACTGCTAGAATTTGGAGCAGATATCAATGCCAAAAATACAGAGCTTCTGCGACCTGTAGATGTAGCTGCTTCTAGCAGTTTGGTGGAAAGATTATTGCTTCAGCATGAAGGTACGAAGAATACATATGGATAGTTTAAACCACAAAAATACACTTGCCTGAAATAGATGAAATTTAAAGACCTCTTGTTGGCACGTAAAATAATAATGGCATAACTTCAGAATACTCTTCGTGAAAGTAAATGTTTTTTAACTTAGTTTCTATCTATAAAGAAGATATCACGATGATCTTTTTTTTCATCTTACCTAAACTTTATATTCCTTGGGTTAATATATTCAGTTTTTAGCAACACATAATAGTATGTAATTCTGTTTAACATCTGCTAATAAATATTTGGAAATATGCCCCTTTTTACAGGGACATGCACCTTCTATAACATGTTATAGAAAATAATCAGGAAATATTTCCATAGTTAAGACTTTTGTTCTGAAACAGAATTTCTTAAGCCTGGTCCAGACACAATAATAAAATTGGCTTTGGCTTCAATACTGAACCTGATTCGAAGAAACATTTTAAATGTCCCCCTTTAGTGCATAACACTTCTTTGATTTTTATCTCCTTCAAAAGGCAGAATTTGTTTCTGAGGCTTTAAATGCAACAATAATTTCATAAGCCTGAAGACTATAATGTTTTAGAAAAACGTATATGAAAATACCTTAATTATAATAAGATCTTGTAAATAAAGGCAATATAAATGCTTACATAAATGTCCCAAGTATAGTGGTCTCACTGTCCTGGTTTACTACAAAGCACTTGTAGTTTTTGATGGTTTCATATAACGTATCTTAGAACACATAAAAATCTGTTTTGACTTTAATTAACAAATACTTTCACGTTTTTTGTAGCAACCCCAAGCTCCCTTTGCCAACTCTGCAGACTCTGTATCAGAAGCTACATAGGAAGACCACGGTTACACCTTATCCCACAGCTCCAGCTGCCAACATTATTGCAGAATTTCTTACAGTACCGATAGAGCAGTAAGATAATTATAAATACTTTGAAAATCAAAAATTTCTATTTCATCTGCCTAGCGTATATTTCATATTAAAATATGCATAAGATAGAGTAAAAGTGAGTATGAGAACACCCAGGGAAGAAGTGAAATATCAATTTTAATTTTAAGTGTACTAGTGGGTACTATTGTTTTATGCATTTTTATTGTTTTTGACTATCGTGTATTTAATATATCTACATATTATTATTCCCATATACCTTTTTGTTGGTTTAGAAAAAATGAAAAAGTCTCCATTTTATATTTTCTAGTATGGCAAAAATAAATGAACTCTTAAAAAATTATTTGCATATTATATTTTAAAAGATTTATATCCATCAAATAATTCATTAGCTTTTTAATTTTGGCAACTGTAATCAATTATCTCTGTATTTTTGATGTTATTACAAAATATGAGTATGGTTTAGAAAAGAGCAGCTATTATCGTTTTCGAAATAAAATGACTTTCCTTCAGTAAATCCACTATGTTGCACATGCATTATAATGATCAACTCATTAAGAAAAGATAAATTACTCCCTTCCTGCAAAGACCTCACTAGTCATTTCACCACCTTAAATGGATCTATTGCAGAAACTGGTAAAACTGGAAGTTATCACCACTGCCCTCTCATCCTGAGGTGTATAGAACATTATACACCTACTAAAGCTATTTTAAGACCACCTTCTTCTCAAGGATAGCCTCTTAAGGTCTCTCTTCAGTGCTTTTAAACATATCAGTCCAGCTTTCTTCCATTTCAGAAATTGTTAATAGCTGATGATACCTGGACTGAAGAAAATGAACTTCATATCTAATTGATAAAGAGGGCCTGGTCACATCCCAGGGATCAGGGCAGTCCAAGGCTACAGGAAATGGAAGATAAAAAAAAAAAAATCCTTAAATTATGGGGTGCCACTTAGCAAACCTAGAAACCTTAAAAAATTTACCCTATATATATAAACCTTAATAGTGGTATTTCTAATTCTTCTTATACAAACCAAGGGTTCAGCTCGGACTGTATTAGCAAGGGAGTGTTGCATCAAAGAAGATCTTACTAGAGCAATGTCCTCTGCAAGGGTCAATGCTATGTTTATTCTCTCCTGCTTTAACTGTACTTGAGTGCAACATAAAATATAATAAAAAGTTGTGTGCCTCCTTTGTAATTTAAACCAGATTTGAGTCTATTAGGGACTTAGAAATAAGATATTCAAGATACTTACAATTCTGTGTAAAGTAGAAAAAAATATTTTCTTGAGTTGTGTAAAGTTATCAAATTTTGATTAACTATTTTGACCACTACTTTAATAACGCAGGGGCCTATTTTCCTTTCTTAGTTTTTGACTGACTGCCAGAGACCCACAGGAAATAAACCATTACTGTATGTAACCCCAAAGTCACTAAGATTGCAAAAAAAATTATTTGTTTAGATTTTCACAAATAGAAATAAGGCTTTGCATGTTTATTAAAGTATGTTTTCTATGTGGTTAGAAACTTTTAAATGTGTCCGTTTTATTATCTCTAACAAATTTATAGTGATCTCATGAATAATGTGCATTTAAAATGTTTAAATTATAGAGTAACCTCATGAAATATAATTAGGTATTAAAACCATTTTTTAGTAAAAAAGGTTTCTACTATATTTTTTCCTGGTATTCTTAGAGAGTAAGAGTAATGAAAAACATCCCTCTCCATTGGTCTGGTGCCAATAAGAGAAGTAAATATCAAATATTCACATGAAAACTGGCATTTTAAAATTTTAGAATACTGGGACCTTGTATCTTAGCTTGAGTATGATAGTTTTATCAAAGAACTGTTCTAATTTAAATATACCATATGTTTGCTAATGTATTCAAGTGTGATTATTATCCCTGGAATAAAATACTTTTTTCTGTTCTAATTAGTATTTGATTTTACAATGGAAGATAATGGCGAATGTGATTCATTTGCACTAATTTTTTTACCCATCAGTTTTCAAGTCACTGCATCATGGTCAATGAGAGTAGAGTAGCACACATTGATATAGATATAGTGACCTCCTGGGAACAGATATGATTCCTCTGTCATGCAAACACCTGAGGACACATTTGAGTGAGTTTGGAGGTGTTAAGGGGTGTTTGGACTCACAGTATCACAGCAGAGCAGGAACAATTAGTTATGCACACATCCCAGGGACAGAGCCCCTTAAGCGTGGGGCCTCATGCTGCTGCAGGGTCTGCATGTCCACAAAGCCAGCAGGCTTGTGGTAGAAGCTGGTGGGCATTCAGAATCTAGTCTGCCTTGGCATCTCCCTGGCGGTGGGAGGGACAGATGTCCTTTTAAACCCAGAAAGAAGTCACACACACACACACACACACACACACACACACACACACCCCTAGAGCACCCAATGACAAATTAATCCTCATGGGACAGTACCATCGAAACATATAAGATGGAAAAGAGATATTTTCCTAACTTAACAAGTTTTGAGGCATCTCTCTCAAAATGAGTCGGCATTTCACATTATTGGGTTTCAAATTATTATGCTCATCCATATCTATTATATACATAAAGATATATTGCCTTAGGCAAGAAATTACTCCTTGTAAGGAAGGTCTCAATTTAATTCTCAACTAAACAGTCTCAGGTCTCAGTCAGGGAGAATGGAAGGCAGCAATTTTATACTTTCAGTTGCATTCTCCTTAGTAGAAAAAATGGAAGGTATTGAAAAAAATCTCACAAACTTTCTTCTTGAATTGTGTATGAGGAGGGAAAATCATATGGTCAACCCACCCACATACACTTGTTTTAGTAACAATGGGCTGGATTCTGCTCCAGGGTCACACACTCAGAAGGCCCCATGCTTGGTTTAATGGCCTGATATTGTCATCTTGAAGTTCTTTTTGAACAATATGCCCACATTTTTACTTTGCACTGTGCCCTGCAAATTATGTAACTGTTCCTATTCAGCTGTGACATTGTTAAACACACTGGTAAATAACACCCACCTGAGGGAATTCTCCCTCTTGGGGTAAGTCAGATAGAACTTTCGCAGGTAAGTCCCTTTGCCCTGTTCTGGGATGAAAAGAGGGAGAAGGTGCACTCGCAAAACAAAAGGCAGAATTAACTTTTCTCCTTGTGAGTGAGTGTAATTTCTCTCTCTATCCTCTTGAATCCTTTGTGGGAAAATTACCTGCATCAAACCAAATTAAATTTGATTAAGGCCTGAGGGGCACAGAGGAACTGGAGTAGATTTTTTTTTATTTTGCAAAATGCCCTCCAGTAATTTCTTCCATCACTGTGCACATACCTTTGCTACGCGACTCTCCCTCTCTTTGCCTTAGGATTCAGAGTCTATTTCTCCATTCTTGAGTTTGGACTGGTTCTGTTTCTTGTTATGGCTAAACAACATGATGGAAAAGATATTGGGATACTTTTGAGTAAAGGCCTCTGGAGACCTTGCAGTTTCTGCTTTTGTCCTCTTGGCAGTCTGGGCCTACCTTGTGAAGGAGCCTGGGCTAGCCTCTTTAAGGATGAGAAAGCACATGGAGAGGAGCCCTGCCGACAGGCAGCCCCAGCTGCCAAATGGGTGAGTGAGGCCATCTTACACTGCCAGCCCAGGTGGAGCAGCCAGAGAACTGGAGAACCGCAGCCATCTGAGTGAGGCCAGGCAGAAAGATCCACTGGCTGATGCCCTGCACCATCCTGAGAATGTAAATTATTGTTATGTAATTCAAGATACTAAGTTTGGGAATGGTTTTTTTTACATAATAATAGATAATCAATAAGAAATACATACTTTCTACCAGGGTCTTATGAAGATTTCCATCTTACTTCTTCCCATTTTTCAGTTCCTGATTTTCCTTATCTTGTAAGGATTTGGGAGGGACCTCCTGTAGTTCTGCAGGGGAGGGGGGGTTTTCCCAATAGTACGTAATTTTTTTCCCCATTTTAACACTTTCATTCTTCCAGGTACATAAGGTCAAAATTCTGAGTTAACCAGAAGAAAATAATGAGGAAAAAAAGTAAAGAAATATTATTATTGATAGATAAAATCTTTGAGATCATTTCTTCCTAGAATACTCCAGATTGAGTCATGGTTGACTTTTCAAGAGAAAGCCACAGGAAATATTTCTTATGTCCACAAACACAGCACATCAAACAGAATCAGACCCCTTTCAGGAAGAGATTTCTAATTACAGCACAGGATGACTGGGACTGGCTAAATAGTATATGTGCTCTCCTGCTTTCCTAGTACTCCCACACAGATAGGGTGAGAGTACATGACGGGTATGAGTAGAAGTGACATATGGCACTTGTAGGCTAGGAGACATAAGAGTCAGTGTGTATCCTTCCTCTATCTGGCTTTGCTATAGCAACCTCAGAGGCCACACGTGCCAGCTGGGGAAATCTGCACCAGCCTGGATCCCCACTTGTGGAAACCATCTCCCACCCCACTGACCCACAATAGACATGAAATATCAGCAAGAAATACATCCTTGATGTATTAAGCCACTGAAATATTTGAGTTTGTGTGCCGTAGTAATAATTACCTGTCTAATATGTTAATTTTCATAGGTTTAACCTTTAGCAATCAAAGTATGAGATCCAATGGCCTCACACTTTCGCCTGTCGCTTTGTAGCTCTTCAATTCATTTCTACACAAACTCACAACATATGGAGTTAGAAACATTTAATTTTTAGTCTTTGTGCATTTATGGAGACAGAAAGATATACGTTCCAATTGGCGTTTACATTTGTTAAGTGTTGGTTATATCCCATTACATTTATTATCAATTGTAACTGACTTGACCATGAGTTGTAATTACAATTACCGGGATGAAAATTATCCATATTTTCATCTATGTGGATGGAGACATTAACTGGCCAAATAGATTTTAAATACACTATTAAGGAAAGTGCTTCTAATATGCATCTGGCTTGAATATGATAAAGTGAATCGCTCTAAAGGGAGATAAACTACCAAGACTCTCTGCTTCAAAATTAGTTGAAAAAAATTTAAGCATCTGAGATATTAAAACATTTACATAAATGATTAAATCTTACAATCATTTTTAAGAAGCTGATACTGACATTGGAATATAAAAATTTAAATGGTAATTTAGGTAGTAGACGTGTTCTTAAGTTTATAGTTCTCTCTGCTCAAATATAAATAATGTTTCCAATTCATGTTTAGTTTATTGCATTCTCATGGCTATGACTTTCAATTCAGATTATTAGGAGGGCAGCATA